GAGATCCCAAGCTGGTCAGGGGATCAGCCTTAAATCCAGGACATTGTCTTCATTGCATTCGGCAATATCTTAGGGTTACAGTGGGGCTGAAGTCTCTTAGCCCTCATCTAAAACCTCTTAAAACTCCAGCACTGCACTGCAATCCCAAGACAATGCCCGTAGCTCTCCCAATCTCCTTACACTAATGGCCATTTTGCTTTGTATTCTGCCTGATTTAGCTGCTCTGTAATGCTTTTTTTTGTTTTATAAGCTGCTCACAGCAGTTTTGGCTTAGCCTCGGGATTGAAGAAATTAGAGTATCTTCCTTACGATTCGACACTAGAGGAAGACCTGGGTATAAAGTGCTGTGAAATAAATAATCGAAGTGTCATTGTCCTGATTGTCTCTTTAAGTGCTCGCGCCTGAAGGATGTTACAGCTTTATTTTTTTAAGGAGTTTAACTTGTTTGTTTTTTTCTTTATGACTTGGGTTGAGCTGAATATTATTGTGCAGCACTGTGCCTGTGTTATGGCCTACATGCACTTTTTTTAGTGAGTAGTTTAAAAAAAAAAAACCTTTTGTGAGACTCTGGTGCTGTTTCCTGTTTACTCTATCATGGTCTCCCATGTTTGTATTGTGCTTTACCATATGTGCTTTTTGTTATGACAGTTTCATTACTACATTTAACTCTGCTTGCTGTGGAACAGCACAGTACCATTTCATAGTTATCAGACAGATTAATGTAAAAAGAATGGTGTCTTTTCAATTTTTGTTTATGCAACCTCTCCAAACCAACGTATAAATATTATACTTGTGCATGATTGTTGGGGTTCTGCCTTTAATCGTCTGATTGTCTGAAACTATCTGTTACAATTATCAAACTTGCTCCGGCCGGAGAGCTGAGAAGCGGGCTAGAATTTCCATGACAACCAGCCGAGCCTCAGGTAGAGGCTAAAACTACAGAATACAATTTGGTAAATTCTTCAGATCATGCTGAAGGGTTTTTAACCCTCTCATATTGTCTGGACAAATAAATTCAACATTGATAGAAGTAGCAACTGAGTGCATATCTTAACGTAGTATACAGTATGTTTTCATCCCAGGGGGATAGCAAAACTTCTAGAAAAAAGTCAAATCCAGGCTGTCTTCTACACCATGGCCTACAGTGGTCAGTTAGGCGCAGTGCTGAGGGATGGATTCTGATGTAGCTGTATTGTAAACTTCACAATGTATGCATCCATCTTTCTGCTAGTAGTGGCACCTTTACATATGCCTGTATGCGATCTTGTCAGGATTCTGGCTGCCAAATTCTGGACATACAGTACCAAACGTTGTTTTGTATGGATAATGCAATCAAATTACCTGCTTGCTTGTCATTTTTAATACACGACTGAACTGCAGAGTTTGAATATTTTACATACAAATGACACATTTAATACCATCATAGTTGGGATATCTAGCAAGCAATAAATCATAGTGCTTTACAGTAGTAGTGTGTTACAGTAGTAATGTTAACATGTAATATGAACTGTAAAACAGATGAAACTTTGTGAAGTGGGGAATTATTTCCCATAATAAATAATGGAAGTAGGGGTTAATGGGGACAGGGAGGACAGAAATATTCTCCAGAGAATAAATAGGAGTTCAACATATTCCTCCATAAGAATCAATGTATTTCAAGAGCAATAGGGATCAGGACATGACGATGAAAGACTGCTGTAGTGTACATTCATGAGTGACGAACAACATTTTTAAACATTACACTCATTTAAGCATAAAACTTAAAATTCTGATATTGCGTACATACTGTACACTACACACAAAGATGAAAGCAACACGCAGAAAAATACTTTTAAATTCAGCTTTTATGTACAGTATAAATATTATTATTTTTAGTATTATCATACTACATAACATTACATACTGTACATATGATAAGTAGGGAAATGTAATGATGGATAGAGTAAAAATACTCAATTTTAACTTCTAGTAATGTGTTTTGCTTACTCTTGTTCGGGGCATGGACACGCATCTCAAACACATACATTTATATAATAACATTTGTCATGATGTTACTAGAAGTTTACTAGAGATGTGGCATTTGTTATCATCCTTTGGATGTATTTTAGGGAATTTTTACATCCACACACCACACACATCCACGGTCACAAAACATCAATTACATAAAGTGGAGTGTTCCGCAGGGAACCCTTGTGCAACATTTGTTTTCAGTAAATTAGACCTGTGTGGTTGCCTTTCCTCCAGGAAAAGATTCTTGTCATATACCATATACTATAAAAGGAGGTTCCTGATTGTGGTAAGTCCTTAGATATCCAGGGTGCCACAGATCAAAGAGTGATTAATCTGGTGTAAAATCTGAGCATGCAATCGAAGGTCTAGCTAAAGTTGTCTTTCATCAGTGATCTGTCATCATTATCATTTTGGGTCTTATATCTCCGTTTCCTGAGTCTAGTGTGACCAGTCACCTGACCCACATTGTGAGCTGTTGGCCTTACTCCCAGAATCCAATATATACCTGTAGATCTTGCTTGTTCTCAAAGGTGCACTGGACCCTGCATGGGACACCAGTCCACTGCAACACACTCGCCAAATTTTTCCCGAAACCAATTGATCTACAGTACCAGTATGACTTTGGGCTGTGGGAGGAAACTGGAGCAGGAAGCATCAAAAGTAAAAACTTTTGGTGTAGAAAGAGGGGAAAAATCCATTTTCCATTGAATGGGTGAGAATTATGGACAGGCTGTGTAAACAGCGGGATGACGACTCTGTCTGAAAGTGAATTGCTGGTACACATAACTTATTTTCAGAGTTACTAAAGCAAATAGCAAATAGCCTTAAAGGCATGCTGGTGTGCATGAGAGGAACGGGGTCTTTACATCGATGTGATAGTGGCACCTGGTGTTGCAGGTCCCCTGGGCAACAGTGCCAAGACCTCACAGGAATGGGGGCAGGATGGTGCACGTTCTTCTCAAGTGATGGGTAACACCAGCCCTGAGTCCAGCAGCAGTGAGGCCCACACTGACTCCACTAGTAAGGTAATGTTGTCCTTTGGTTTTCATTACACTGTAGAAATCGGAGTGGAGCCATCCAGTCAGCTAACATCGGTCCATCTCAAGACCTTTTTCCTGTTAAGGTATTCATCAATATCTGTCAGCAGATGTTCATTTTTTTCCATTACCATACACCTCTTGTTTTTATCCATGTACCTTATGCTCATTATTTCTTAAAAGTGACAATACAACTTTCGGCAGATGTTTTTTCGAAGGGATGTATGCGCCTTGTTTATCTGTCGGAAACTGCAGAACCATATTCTGCAGTGTAAAACACTACCGGAGGTTTTAAGTCCAAATAAAAGTTTACAAAACATGCCAAGAGCTATAGCATGCATAGGATGGTTTTGCTGCCTTTTGCCCAGTGCCTCACTACCTGAGGCAG